AGACAACACATTAAAAAAAAACTAAAAAATGAGACAATCTTTTTGAATAGTTATGGAGTAAGAGTCACCCTTAATGTCCACCAGAGCTGTATTCAGGCATGTTGATCACAACATGCCACAAGTCTAACACTTGAGGTAGCTGTAGACCACGAGAACAGCTAATTTCTCAATTTTAAGGTTGGTAGTGGTTACACTACTCTTACAAAAAGCATTTTTAATGATATCTCAAAACAGTTACAAAACTCTGCATTGATAACAATTGCATCAAAAGGTAGCAAGTAATCCAATAGAAACTCCTTTTACTGCCATTAAAATTCCTGCTCCTTTGAAGCTCTTATCTGTAAGAAGTTGTTTATACATTTTTCCTGTTTTGTTTGTTAGAAATTTTGCTTTTGGCTGTAAAGATGAATTTTAGTAAGTTTCCATTCTTACACGTCTTTGATTATTAATATTGCAATAAAGTATGGGTAAGGAGGTTGTTTATAAGGCTTTGAGTAGATTCAGATAGTTCCTCCATCAGCTTTGGGACTTTAAATTACCAACTACACACCAAGGAATTAACATTCCTTGGTTGCAACATACTTTGATTTAGGTGAAACAGTCTGAAGAATGATTAAAACATACACATAATTAAAAGGTCCCATAGCACTCTAGTAGCTTGTTAATTAAAGCAATCTCCATATGCCTACTTAGTTTCAAGATACTTAAAACAAATCAGTCAATAACTTATTCTGTTTCTTCAAGTGAAACAAGAAGAAATGATTCCAGACCCCTGTCTTTGGAAAGGGGCATGCCTGCCACCTATATACACCACCCTGGTCACAGTCCTTCATATTACTGTTCACACTCCTCCCATGCCTCCCACCCTATCTGTGATGCCACATTCAACCCATTACACACTGCTGTTTCCAAAGGGAAATCCAATTTTTTCCAATTAGGAAGTACTTGGATTACAAAGCCATAAACATCGCTGAAATAACTTAAAGCAACTGTCTTGCACTCTACAGACTGTTATTTCAGCATTACAAGTGATTTGGTACACTCTGAACACTCTGGTCAGGAAATTGTATGCAGCCACCTTCCTATCCCACATCTATTCTCCATCCTTTGTTAAAGGAACACTATGGGCTCTAGAATTACCCTAATGGCAAAACACTGCCTTCTGTCAAGTCTATTACCTGTGAATACGTTACTGAGCATGTCAGTATTTTAGATTCCTCTCAATGATGGAAATGACTGTGCCTTGGCTCCCTCTCCCCTATTCAACTACATTTAACAGTTCAACCAGGGTATAAGGAAGTTCTGGACTAACAGCAGGATCTACTTTTGCCTCTATTCTAGTCCAGTATTTGTCCTAAAACATCATTTGTCCTCCACTCTAGTCCAGTATTTGTACTAAAAGACCATTTCCATTTGTCATTTTTGGCAACATCAAGTCACTTTTGTCTTATTGTTCCTCCAATTTAGACAGAACTAAGCTGGTATGTGTTAAAAAAAAATTACCTCCTTATGAACCTGGAATATTATCACTCCACACAGATTTTAAAAGTAAAAAAATAAGCCTAGAAGCAAACCCACATGCTAGAAATGAATTATATTCTCTAAATTATTCAATGTTTAACAAATCTATTCAAACTAGTTATCTCTGCAAATTCATTCAAGGCCACTGAATAAAGGCAATTGCAAGCATACCCATAAGCCCAATTTAGCATGCTGGATCAACAGCACACAGTAGTCAGTTGTGAGAGACCAATTAGGATCAAAAATAATGCTGTTTAATTTAAAGAGTGAGTTTAATTTCTGCCGATTTTCTTTAGTACTGCCAAAAAAAATACTGCAATACACCGCGTTAAAGTTTCTTCATTTATCACTCTACCTACCTCAAAACCACATATGATTAAGTTTCCCCACATTTCATATAATCCTTTTAAGTCCTCAGTTCACGATTATATGATTTCCCATTTTGAAATCCCACTGTAGACAAGTCGTCATTATTTCCTGATAAAACTATGCTATCATTAGCCAAGAAAATAGCATTTTACACAAAAAACTCTACAAAATACAAACAAAAAATGAGTAATAGTAATCTAACACCATTTGGAAACTAAGCGGTAAATGGACCATCATCCAAGTTCCAATTTCTACATAATGCCAAAACCAACAGCATTGTATTAACTGTCAATTTTTGTCACCTTACTAGATTTGTTAGTAGAAGCTACATTTCCCCAAAAAGCAACACTTTCCTGTGTATTTGTTTGTGCAGAGATCAGTTATGGCCACTTTAGTAAGATGTTACATGCATGATATCTGTCCAAGCTTTTCAACAGCGTAAGTTCACATGTTTTTAATCACACAATGCAATTCAAGGAGGAAAACAATTGACATATGTGCTATTGTAAATTTACTCTTAAAAAGCTTTTAGCTTGCTATCTTAAATTACGGTTTAATCCATGAGTATATGCCATTTATGAAAATGTTGACACAAAGAAAAAGACAGCAGAAGTTTTGGGAGACATTTTATTAATGTACAATTTTATTAGCCATGTACAGTAGATATTTTCATTTTCTATGTATTATGTCTCCTTGAAGTTTCGTAAATGCTTGTTCATATATAAAACTACACGATGCTTTTTTTGTAAGGACCAGAAATCGTGAAAATCTAAGTGCTACAGTATACTTTGTAGTGATTAAACACGTTGTCCAGAAGAGTTACCAGCCACTTCAGTGAAGCACTTCTAAAAATGTTTCTGATCAAGTTCAAATGTACCTGTTCATAAATAATAATTCGTTTGCTCATGTCCATTATGCTGCTAAGTACAACTGTCTCCAATATAAAATACCATTTCCATACATTTCCCCACATGGACAACTAGATAATCTAGTCATATTTACTTTTAACCAAGGCTAATACAAATTTACAAGTAAAGTAACTTCAAAATTTATTCAGAATAATTATTTTTCAACCAGAAGCTTTACTTTGGACAACGCAGAAGTATATTGCGAGTGACATTCTGCAGCAGAAGCTGGAGGCTTAGAACAACTAAGAAGGACTAAGTATCAGCAATACACGCTTTTACAAGAACTCTGACCATTCTGAATGTTAACATAAAGACCAGGTAGTTCAGTTTGTGCGCTGTCAAACGATCAAAACCTCCACACAAGAAACTGAAAAAATATTCCACAGAACACAGTATTTCAGAGAACATGTTAGACACTGGCATGACGTTTCTCAGATCAAATTGGCAATTGAAATTTAACATCCACCTGAGCTTGTTTTGCTAAGCTTACTATTTCAGAGAGTTTCACGACCTGAAAAACAGAAAACAAAGATTTAATTTCAAAACAATCCTGAATTGAGTGAGCTGGACCAATCTTTTTAAACAAAGTAATGCCAGAGAACTATCAGCAAGATCTTAAAGGAGGGGTGGGAAGGTAGGATTATTACTTAGTCCAGTGCTTCTTAATCACTTTTAAATGAAAGAGCAGTCAAGTCTTTCAGAAAAGATCTTGCACAGTTATACAATGCCTGATTCTCATTTACAGCCAAATATCTGGATAAAATGCTACAAGTTTTAAACTTTGTGTGCCAGCTTGTTTTCTTAGGTGGTGTTGGGGTACCCACTCACAAGAGATTCTATGTATCTAGAAGCTATTTCTCCTCCGAGTTTTTGTTGCCAGCATTTCTGGATCTTATTTTGATATCTTATGAAGTCTCAAGGTCTCTTGCATAACAACTCAAAAGCTCTATGAATTATTTCCTGCTTGGAATCAAATGTTATAACCAAGTGGTTCTTTAAGGGAAAAAAAAAGATTCAGAACTGTAAGTTTCCCCATGATACAAAATCCACCAGACGCTCCCTAATTTTTGGCAGATCAAAATTTTTTGTCTTTACTGTTGCTACACATTTGTAGTATGTTTTTATTGTCCACATTACCTGACTTCAAAAGCACCTAAAATTCTAGTTAGCTAGAAGAATTTACAAACATCTGTTGAATATTTAGGTAGAAAAAAATACTTTTAACTTCACTGGTTATAATCACTGCTTCAAATGCTCAGCTTATTACTCTGATCTATCCTCATCTATTTGTTTATCCCACTCATGGCATCATCTTAGCTAAAGCCGTTTAAGGAATCACCTACAGGCAACATACAAAACAAACGATAACCTTTTCAAAAAGTGCTTCTACAGATAAAAAAAATACTTTAAAGTCCATTCGCATGGCTCCATGATTCAGCTAAGAACTTTAGATACAGCAGCAGCTTTAGAAGGTGTGTTATCTAGATGCAACATAGCTTAAAGACCCATAGGTACTGCTAGGGAAGACTTCCCTTCATCTAACCAAAGCTTGATCAGCCTAGCAGGACTTAATACTATTCCTCGTAACAGAGGGCTATACTGTTAAGCTAAGCAAGTTCTTCCTCCAAGCAATTCACGGCAGCTCCTAGAGCTTCAACTTGAGGAAACAAAGCAAAATAAAATACACACACACAAAAACCTAAATCACAAACAACCTGTCTGAATACCTCATTACCTTATGAGGCAACAGGACAATCACCTAGGTTTGGTTTTAATCATGCACACTAAAATACAGCGATCTATCAAAGGAACTGTTACATCGCATTTTTCAACTACCTCAATTTAAGTATTTTCTTCCAATTAATAAATCTAATCTCTTAGCCATTCCCCTACCAAGAAGAGTGACTGATCTAGTCATAGGTTTCAAAACCAAACCAGGTAAATTTAACCTGCTTTTCAGAGAGGGCAAAAAAAGGATGGAAAAATAAAAAAAAAACAAAGGGAGCAAAGTGGGGCAAAGCTAAAAAAATTTTTAAAAAAGAAAATAAGTCTCAAATACAGACATTTCTGGGGTATAATAGCTTCTGACTGCATAGTTGCTCTCCTTACAAAACAGGTACTTACCGATTTGTAAAACATTTGCTTCAGGCAATGATAATAGCTGGCACTGTGGTTTATCCTAAGCTACCTTTAGTTGATTGAATGGAGTTTCAACTTCTCAATATTCTGCAATAGATGGTATGTTCTGAAAAGAATATTCGTAACCAACTACCTTACCATTTTCGCAGCTTCATCCAAGTCATCACACGCAAGGATTTTGAGGCCACTAGCTGTTATTAAAGCTTTGGCATCATCAACTCGTGTACCTTAAGAAACAGATAAAATGCCACTCTTATTGAACAGGAGACTACTATTACCATCAGAGTATTCTCGTATTTTCTCAGAAGCCTGTTCCAAAAGTAAGTTAGTGAATAAATCCAGAAGACAACAACTTTAGCAGCTATAAAAGCAGGAAATCTCTTTTTATTAACTTGCCAATCCTCACCATCCAAATTCAAGGTCTGCCTTTGCCTTATTTTTCCATGGTCTCCAATTTGCTACACAATATATAAGCTCAAGAACATTTGTCAGTATGGACAAACATTAACATACTGAAGCACACTCACCTTGCAACCGTACCACAATAGGTATTTTTAGGTCCAAATCCTTTACTGCCATAATGATGCCTTGTGCTATCACATCACACCGCATAATGCCACCAAAAATATTTACCAGAATAGCCAGTACCTACAGAATCAACGACAATATTCATGTTAAAAATGGGCAGCGGCACATCAGATAAAAGCAACACTCAGCCTTTCAGTCTAAGGAAAATTCAAGCTCCGTAAGTGCAACAAGGGACACTGTGAAAGACAGGGAACATTTCTGTTCTAGAGAACATCAACAAAAGTGCAGTTCTACAGTCACGTACAGCAGAATAGTTACTTCAGGAAAACCCTGTTGCAAAAACACCTGTCCCAGGAAACTTCCACATTGTCCTTCAATCCATTATGAGATGCAGGCAACAGCTGTTTCTCTTACAGTGTGTATTCTGTGTAGCTACTTGAAAAGACACACACCCATTTTCTGTACAAAGTCAACACTGTACATTACTTCAGAATATTCTGAGCATGATTAATAGAGTTGTTTGATTTTCTTTAAGCAAATCAAACAGATGAAACTTCAGTGAAGTCATTAAATGACTTAATTTGTCAACTGCTTATCTTTCCATTTCTAACATTACTCCAGCAGAGGTATGTCCCACACTAGCACCTCCACATACTGAAGCAGCCATGCTAAAGAACATAGAAAATTTACAAAACTCATACACAAGACACTGTTTATACAGTTTACTTAAAAGCTAGCATGCTTAGAGGTAAGTTATTTGAAATACGTTTTATTCAGGAGAACTAAGCCTGAGGTTAAGGGAGAGTCTTTTCCTACTCAAGTGGTGGAAAGGGGTAAAAAGGTCATGGTCAATGGTGAAAGATTGAATAAAGTATGAGCAAAAATGGGTAGACAACCTTGGAGGACAGAATAAACTTAACAAAACATTAACATGTAACTGGTTAATACGCAGTAGCTTGGTTCTCATTATCTTGCAATTAGACTAGCTCATCTGTGTGACATTGTTCTTGCTCCTGCTACTAATGGCTAGAAGCAACTCTGGCTGGCACTCGGGGTCCAGTTCAGGGGTAGCTTGGAAGAGCCTTCTGGGGTGCCAGTCTGAGTGGGCTGTCCATGACATCAGTAGGCTGTACTGCTGTTTGACTTTCAGCA